ATGCGAGATCACAGGATAATCAGACATCCCCCTTCATTGCGAAACATTTGGTTGAAACTAGTCATAAGGTTGACACCAAGTCAGCATTGGTGGTGTTGTACAAAAGCCTTCAGCGACGTATACCAAGTTTTATTGAAGCGTTGGTTATAGGGAGACTGAAACCTCATTTGTGTTCAAAAACAATTTGTTCTTACCCTTAACCTGCCCTGGTAATACTGATATGATCATCACATTGCTTTTGTGTACTTCGTTTTTCTTTGTTGCGGCTTATTTTTAATCTACCTAGTTGACCTTTTAGTTTTCATGTGAAAGTGTCTTAGCAAGTATATGTGTGATCAGATTGTTCGAAATGTATTGCGTAAATATATCACATAATTCTGACGATATTCGTCTTCTAATTGAAATGTCGAGAGATAACTTGGATGTTTACTTTCATCTTTGCTGATAGTGCCTAAGTTGCGCATTTCCTGACCGATAAAGCGCCGGACACTCTCTGCATCATTTCTTAGTTCAAAAGGCTTGTGGTCAAAGTCATATAGTTCGTATGGAGCGGTAGTAGCAGTTTTAGGGATATTGTCTCGGTGAACTGAAATGTGCTGATCTGCATGGAAGAGATTAACCCTCGGAAACATTGTTATGCCAAACAGATTGTGAGTGAAGCCATGTAAGTGTGAAAGAGGTTATCTCTCTGGTGTCGTCCGACTGTCAAGAGCTCTACAGTCGTCAGATGGTCTAACATAGGAAGAGTTCTTTTTGAAGTGGTGATGCTTAAGTACTATCGGTGATTTTGTCACCTGAGTTTATATGTATGTATGATACAGAGTGGGTTTTGGTTCGTTAATATATTTTATCGTCTATGTCTGCTAGTTCACCATCATCTACTTCTTTGGGTTCAATGGCCAATATAAATCGAATATCTTAAGGAATATGTTTGACCCACAACTGAAAAATTAGACGTTTGTCTATAAGAAAATTCCTCAGCATACTCGTTGTGTCCCGTTTCAACTGAGAAGGTGTATGCTATACGCTAACCAAAAGTTCGTAAACTGTCTACTGGTTGGTCAGAGATTTGACGCGAATGACCTCTCTTTTTAATTGATCATATGGTGTCCGAATATGCTTCGAAAATAGGGCTAACACTTTGTTCTACAATGTCGTTTGGTAACAACAGGTTTCGGTAAATATATTCCGTGTCTAGACTTGTGTTTCCATGTGCAACAAAAAAGTTTTCCAGCCTTGCAAATCAGGATCCAGCTTTTATGGAGTTAAATGGAAGAACAGATACAGATATGGCACCCACGTAAGCGGATTTAGATCAGGGGGTTACAGCTTTACTAAGTAACATTATACGGACAAATAACAATAGTAACAACAGTGACAATAATAAGCCAAGAATTGTGAAATGAAAATGGGGCAATAGCAAGCAACAGAGGACTCATAGAAAAAACTTTCACTGGGAGTTTATACATGCGAATATTGTAAGATCCATTTTGAATGCTTTGTGTGTTTGGGAAAATCCCTCCATGTATGTACTTGCACTTTGTTCCTAATGATCCTCTTAGTTGTACATTGTTAACTTTTTTACTACATTTGAATTGTTAATATTTGTATTTTATTATAGTTTTTGTTTTTACTACACCTTCACTAATTTCCCGTGTTTATTCCCGAACTGCACTTATGTTGTTTTACTTTATGCTAAGTTTGGGAGGCATCCATATTGGTTTGTTCCTGCTTTTGATTGCTTGACCTGTGTTGACTGGAATTGTGCATTTTGGTTGTGAATGGAAGCACTCTTCCAGAATTGAAAACACACCGTGTTACAGAGCGACCAATTATTACCTTTTGAACGAATCTGTACGTGATCTATCCAGACAGAATAGAATAACGTTTATTTATGGTGATTGGTAATTTTCTTGCATTCTTTATCAACTTTCTTATTTATTGTTATTTAGATTTGATAAATTGAACAATTATTGGTTGGATATCTGAGTGGTTATATTTGTTTAGATAATAATGTACACTTAAATTTATGATAAATTATAGAACCATCATCTCACCCAATTACTTTGTTTTGGTTTCAAACGGGCGAGGGTGCGTATCTAACTCATCCAGACAGCTGTCCATCAGTCCAACCGTAGTTTGGATTTTACAAATATAACGTAATAATTGCAAAGAAATATTGTCATAACTGAGTTTATTAGCAGTGTCAACAAATTGTTAACAATTATGATAATAATTCCAATATAAAACTATGTGAAAAAATTTCTGAGAAATGGTGTGTGTTGTACCTGCAGCTCACCAATTTCACTACTTAATTACTCATGCCTGTTACTCCCAGTGGAGAATAGGCCATCGATCAGCATTCTCCAGCCCACTCTGTCACAGGCCTTATTGTCTAGTTCTGTCCGTTTGTCATTCATTCTTCTCTTGACTTTCTCCGTTTCTCGGTGTAATGTGTTCTCTGATCTTCCTCTTCTTCTTTTTCCTTGAGGATTTCAAGTGAGGGCTTGCACTGTGATGCAGTTTAGTGCTTTCCTCAGTGTGTGTCCTATCCACTTAGAGCACTTCTCCCTGATTTCTTCCTCCGCTGGGACCTGGTTTGTTCTCTCCTACAGTAGGTCCTTGCTGAAAGTATCTGACCAACGGATCCGAAGTATTTTGCGTAGACAACTGGTAACAAACACTTGTATCATCTGGATGATAGCTTTCGTAGTTTTACAAGTTCTCTCCCATACAGTTGAACTGGCTTGACATTTGTATTGAAAAATCTGACTTTCATGTCGGTTGATAGACAGTTGTTTTGAGTCCTAGATGTTCTTCAGTTGTAGGTATGCTACTCTTGCTTTGCTGATCCAACATTCACGTCTTCTTCAGGTCTGTAGACCGCCAACGTAGATGATCTTTATCAAAGTGATTGGAAGCCTACTTAGACGTGAATGAAGTGACAAACTAGCTAATGTCGAAGTCACACCTCATGGTCAGCACCTTACTTGGAGTACCCCATCGACGTATCAAGGTCCCATAAATGCTTTGAAGACTGTACAACACAGAGGACGTTATTACAGTAATATATCAGTTAAAGTAGATACAATCGAAAGTAAGACCACTACCGCAAGAGCCAGTCCATGGTATACGATTAACTGATGCTCGTTGGTTTTCCTTGACCTTGAGACGATCGACGATTTGTTCGATATTCAACGACCCGACTGCTGGATGATTTGGCTAGGGCTTAGTGACATTTCACTGGCCCCGCAGGTCTACTGTGTTCATCAATGATGCTGCCCACATATGTAAATGTTTATACATCTTCCAAAGCTTCTCCATCAAGTGTGATTTGATTGGCGCATGTTGTGTTGTATAGGAGAATCATGCTTTTCCCTTTGTGTATGCTGAGGTCTACTACCGATAAGGCTGCTGCTACACTGGTCGTCTTCTTGTGCATTTGTTGTTGCATGTGCGATAGAACAGCCAGATTATCTACGAAGCCTGGTCGTTCAGCCGCATCCTAACTGGCCATTGTATCTCATGCTTTCCCCCAGATGTTGAGGTCTTCATGATCCAGTCGATCACCAGGAGAAAGAGAAAGGGTAAGAGTAAGCAACCTTACCTGACATCGGTCTTTACTTCAAACGAGTTTGTCAGCTGTTCTCCATGCACGATTTTACAGTTTAATACATCATAAGAATTCCTTATGATATTAACTATCTTTTCAGACACTCCGTAATGTCGAAGAAGCCACCAATTTTGTGGAGGTTGATCCCTTTCAAATTGACCTCATTATTCATTGTCCCATTCAATATATGTTTTAATAAATGAACTCTCTTGATAGCATTGTAAATTTACTCAAGAATATGCAATAGCTCGAACAGCAGCTGTTGGTAGAATGTGCTCATAGTCATAAATGAAATTCGCTGGCAGACCGGCGTGCTGGAAAATGAAAGAGTGAGTAAAAATTCGAAGCATATATATGTTAATAGATACGTGGGTAAATTTATTGATTGTTCAAATTTGTAATCAGTTAAGGGATAGATAACGATTGAGGTACATATATGGTTTCAAACAGACTCTTATACACTGTGACATAGTGAACCAAATGTCTAAATCTTAACAAGTAGGTAGTAAAATAATATAATGGGCTTACTATAATGCCAATTATTAAGTTGTCTTAGAAATTTGATTAACGGTCTCCTTTCGACCAGCTTTTATAGCATAAAGTGTTCGGCTGATTTCAATGGCTGATAGCTAGTACACTCAGGTAATTCATAGGAGGGCGCTTCAGATATTTCACCATGTAACATACCTTACGAAATACACCACATTCGGAAGATATGAAATCCACCTCCAGATATAATTGTGGTTTTAACCTCAGTTTATCTCATTCAGACTTTCAAGATTGTACGTGATTGCAAATTTTACGAGAGCCAATAATTCTAGATGCCTTAACTTATTCACTTAAAATGCTACAGGTATTTTTAATTTGACAACACTTTAACCAGTGAAACCTGTAGTTCAATAAAGATCACTCAGTAAAGTCTAAGGTCAGAAGTAAGGAGGTTCGAATACATATTTGTCAGGTTATCAATATATCAAGAAGCGAATGATTTAAACTGGCTAGCGGTTGCAGGAGAAGTTGAGCACAGAGTTCCCACTCTTGATCTGGTGCGGATGCGTGACCGAGCGCCTTCAGCTAGGTGAGCCCATTAGAACCGATGTGGTCGTCATAAAATGTCGAATACTTATAGAGCTACTGAATTTGGGGATTTTTTGACCACCACACCCTTTTCTCAACAAAACTTCTGCAATCTAAGTTTCTTGAATAATCGATATGAATGACCTGTATTTCCATACACTTAAGAACCAAACACGATAACGCAGATGCGAATATAAGGAGGTATTTATACTCTTATTTATTCATAACAATGTTTTTTATCTAGTGACTGAGTTTTTGTACGCTATCGTTGTTTCAGTTATTTGACCCTGACAATTACCTACTTTTGAATATGCAACAAACCGGCGTAAATAGTGTAGCTGCGAACGTATTCAACCAGTAAGTATAACTTGGGTTTTGTAACAATAAATCCCCATGATAGAATTGACAGAAACAGAAAGGGAGCCATAACTGCGAATGAATTGCAGCAGGCATTATCCAACGGTTAGTTTACAAATTGTTGAATGCATTCGTATTTCTTCATGCTAGTCTTCAGTAATGAAGATAGTCGGTCGGAGGACCTATGTTAATCCTTGCAGCTCGTTTTCCAGTTTAACCGCAGCTTTTCTGAAATATTCACTGATGGGACTGATACCATTTGTTCGGAGAGGGTGTTTCAATCATTGGCTACTCGATGAGAAAAACGGAACCCCACTCTGAGTTTACGAGATCGCGGGTTTTGAACCTTCTTGCTATAGCCTCGGATAGGATAAGTTCTGGAGGCAGCGAAAAGATTAGACGTATTAACCCTCAAATTGTTATTAAACATATGGAATGTCAACATCAGGTCACTTCACGTTCTACAATACGATAGAGGAAAAGGTTCAGGAGTTTTAAGCCCCCATTGTAAGGGAGATTGGAAATAACCTTTAATAACTTTGCTATCACACGTTAGACACAGTTGAATGTGTTAGTATCTTGGGATAAGACATGGACTGGCTGTTTGGACACAGTCAGCTTTCATATTGTTTACACTTACTTAGTACCATCATTTACTGTAAAATGCATTGGTTCACAAGTAAGTTATTCTGGTTGTGTGAAACGTATCCACTTCACAGAAACTGATGGTTAGTTTGAAACATTCTTGTCGACAAACTATTTCCCTTTTTCGTCAGTGTCCAGCACTTAAGAGAAATGTAACATATTTGCTTCTCAATAAAAAAACCCCTTCGTTGTTGTTCACGAGTATTGACTTAAGTTTTTTCAGGTAGAACAAGAAGTCACGCTGAAAAACCAGTGGCTTTGATACTAGTTTGTCACTGAGATGCTCAATAAGCTTACACACAACTGATGTGCTTCATTTGTACTTATCAGCAGCGATGAAGAAAGCTGGCGTATCCGTACTTAAACCAACTGGAGTTAGTATAAAACGTCGTCATTCGAGTCTACTAAATCAAGTATCGATGTTCGCATTTATTACGCTACGCTCGTTCACTTCATATAACCGTAAACTTCGTGCCCTGGTAATAGCTCAACTGCGCTAATTACTTTTTAGTTTCATATGGACGCACATCAGGATGAAGTTATGAAAGGTTCTGGTTGAATTATTCGCATATATTTTGTTCTTTCTGGGCTACAATCTAAAACACGTGCATCAAAGTACATTATATTACAGTCTCGACTAAAACAGAATATATTTTCTCCGTAAGCAGATGACTTAACTGTCTTGAATTGTGGAACCAGTCGTTGGAGACTCAAATAAGTTATGAGTCACCTCCATAAAGAAAAAAGTCGAGTGACAATGGAAAAAGTGTACAACCCCTAATGACGCTGCTGATGAGTTCGACCAAAATGTCAGTTCATCATTAATTTTAAGTAGACCAATTAAACTTCGGTAAATAACTTTTAGCCTGTGTTCTAAAAGTCGCTTAAGACTAAAACGTCATTTAATACTTCTAGGATTAGGTTTAAAGGTTGCCTATATGCAGAAGGTTTGCTTTTGAAGAAATCTAACCAACCGTTTTTTGATGCTTAAAACAGACTTTGAAATTCATACTGGTCAAACTAATTCAGTCAGTCAGTTAGCTACAACGTAGGACCAGGCACATATATGCATCGGTCCAGGTTGCCATACCTCATTAGCACAGCAAGGTGAACACCGGACTCATAGGAGTGGTTAGGTCAAAGGTGGTAATATATAGGAGAAAGATTGCATATAAGGATACAGTACCGGAATATATAATTAGTTCGTCGAAAGAAAGATATCAAGCGATTTTAATCTCTTAGTTTAAGGGAAGACAGGGAGTGTATGCACCGACGCCATTGTGATCGATTCTGAGCCATGTCACCAAGAGTCTCCAACCATTGGTTACGATAGTCACGCGGACCCCAACCAAGTAGTCTGCATCTACCAACATGGCTCAGACTAGAGGTGTCTTCAAGCACTGATGCCACGTTTTGGTTTGGCCGCCCCTAATTCTCTTCCAACCATCTCTAACACCCGTTAGCATTGCACGACGTGGTAATCGGTGTTCAGGCATACGTAACACGTGGCCCAATCATCTCAGTCGATGAAGATTAACAACCTCATCAACTGATTTACCATCATTACCTAATACCCTGAGTCTAACCTCACTAATTTCCCCTTAGTTATCACGCAAGGCCTTAATGGGATATTTTAAAGGATCATATATAGTTTCATCTGACTACGCGAACCCAATAAAATGTGCTCGTTATTAACAGGTAGTTAACTATTTGATTTACATACACACTAAAGTGGAACAATTTGATTGGATTAAGTCCATAATTAACTTGTTTAACAAGGTTTTTATTCTTATTGACTGTTGCTGATTGTAAGGTTCGCTGTTTCTACGCTAATCGATTTCTCACGTAAATGTAATTATTTGGCAACTGTATTATGTGATTGTCTGTTTATAGTTTAGTTTTGTAGCATCCTTGTTTTTTTTAAATTTTTTTCCGAAATATTAACCTTAACAACTGCCACACAAAACAGGATTGGGGACGTCATTCAATATCAAAACGATTGAACTGATGATATGTATGTTTGACAAAGATATGAATGGCACTATAAATGTCTATGAATTCTCTCAACTATTTGAGTACGTACAACAGTGGCAACAATGTTTTCGATCATATGACAGAGATGGATCCGGTACAATCGACTGTCGAGAGTTTCATACTGCTTTAACAAGCTTTGGTTATCGATTGTCTCCTGAATTTTCACAATTCTTAATTAGAAAATTCGATAAAAATCGCCGCGGATCAGTAGGATTTGATAATTTTATCTTGGCATGTGTTTGTTTAAAAGTAAGTTTCAAAATTTTATCTTCCATATTGTTTCCTATTTTTGTGCATCAAAACGTTTTAATGATAGGTATACGAAAATAAATAAAGATAAAAGGCCTAAAAATACCTGTGTAACTTATTTATCGTGTTAGGAATGTTAGTTATTCGGACATTGTGGAATATCATAATCCCTTCGGCTACCGGTAATGTTTTCATTACTTTACTTTTCATCTCGTCCAACTTACCCTGGTGATGTATAGTGTGGCAACTTGACTTAACCCATGTCCTTATTTTCTTTGTGATTAATCAAATTTGAAAGCTAGATATGTATTTGTTTTGAAATGCGACATAACTTCTGCTCTCAGTTTGCTTGTCATGATGACTGAGACTATATATAACCTGAGGAATTTGTTGCTCAAGATCTTACCATGCCAAGAATTCCGTGGGGTAGCAGAAAACTTAAAGTCAGACATCAAAGTTATGCTCTTCATTTTCTTGTAGTGTAATAGGTTTCACATGTTTCTGATGGATTAATAACACACTTAGTAATGATGTACAGCTAGAAAAATAAATTACAAACATTCAACCGTAAACAGAGCATACACTCCCTTGATTAATGATTTCTGATCCCTCCTGAAAGTTTTAGAAAGTATAAAGCGTATGTAGCGAAAAATACTATTAGTAAGACGATCAACTCGTTATCTATCAAGTTTCTCGGTCAAGGTCCGTGACCTCAAAGGTCATTGATATTCAAAAAAGGTTTTTCTTCACTTTCATCGAGTAGTCCTCTTTCATGATTAAAGCATTTGAGAACTATTGATTGTCAGTACTCTAACATCACTCAGGATTATCAATAACTGTCTCCAATGTTTTCTAAATTTCCTTCCATTCCCCTTGTTAATCTTTTACTTTGACTTTATTTTTCTTCTAATGCGCAACCGATTCTTAAGATTTAATTTTACGATGTGTTATTGCCGCTCTGGTAAAATTGTGCTCCATACTGCAAGCCACTCTGTAACAATTCATATTATTACACGCCTATGTGATTTATGCTGACTTTCTGATAGACAAATTAATCCGTTTTTCGAACAGACAATAAGAATATGCAGGTAAAAGCAGGCAAAACTAGCCTATTCAATTTCCATGAGTGTGATTCTGCACTGTTTCGTATGGATAAAAGCAAGCTAAAGATAGTTAGTGAATAGAATATGTGATAGACAAACATATGTACATACAAGTTCTCTGAAGGTGATAAGTGAACAGCTGACAAGGTCAAACATATGTGTACCTAGTAACTCAAAAAGGTTAGATTAATATATTTCTCCATAAGTAGGAATTGCTACAAATACTTTCGGTGTCTTAACCTTATTTCTAATCGAAAAAATAGTTCCACTAGCCCAAGATCCTAGAATATCTTCCGTTTGTTGAATACTGTGTTACAAAAACTCATGTGTACTTATTTACCTAGCCAATATGAAGGACTTGTTTACCTTATCCTTTGTAACTGGGGGCTCAACCGTAACACCTCATCGTGCTGCATATGTAGAATTACCATTGCGTTTCACAGAATGAACTATCAATTTTCAACCTAGAGTAGTTTATTCTGTTTTCAATTAAGTCGAACATGCTTCAAGTATTTTTCACTAACCCACTAGCCGCCAACATCTTATATACTATATCGTTATTAGGTTTGCAAATGTTACTGAAGTTGAAAAGCTTGTAATTAACTCTAGACGATGCATAGAAGCAAGTTATGAGTCGTTAATTTCACAAATCTTAGGGATTATAACCCAATATCATTCGTCAAATTAACAGATATATTAAGATTTTGAAGATGAGAATGAATAAGAACGCTCAAATGTTGATGTATTTTTTGTAGTATATACCGTTTCTTCCTTCTCACCGTTTGAGAGATTTTTCAGTTGCATCTCCCACTGAAAGATATATCAAAGACTATCAGTTTACTGAAACTTGTCTGTTGCGGTATGATTGATTAAGTCAGAGCTTACTAGTAACTGTCATGTAGACTGACTTCATGAAACAGTATTCCTCAAGGTTTTCCTGTTGTCCTACATTTTCCTTAGAGGTAACTGTTTCTTCTTCTTCTTTCCCCTTCCTGGGTTAGTGAATTTAAGAGGAATATACTGTAATCCAGTTTGTCTTGCTGAAGACTTTGTCTTAAGTCATATCTGTTCTTGGAGTAAGGCCGGTTGTTGTTTCATCATTGGAGATTTCAACGTGCCGTATATCAAATAAATAGAGCTTACAACATCAGATAGATGTTTTGACAGCAGCTTGCTGTCAACACATTCGAGTATGTCTAAAATGTGGGAACAAAGTTATTAAAGGTTATTTCCAATCTCCCTTACAATGGGGGCTTAAAACTCCTGAACCTTTTCCTCTATCGTATTGTAGAACGTGAAGTGACCTGATGTTGACATTCCATATGTTTAATAACAATTTGAGGGTTAATACGTCTAATCTTTTCGCTGCCTCCAGAACTTATCCTATCCGAGGCTATAGCAAGAAGGTTCAAAACCCGCGATCTCGTAAACTCAGAGTGGGGTTCCGTTTTTCTCATCGAGTAGCCAATGATTGAAACACCCTCTCCGAACAAATGGTATCAGTCCCATCAGTGAATATTTCAGAAAAGCTGTGTTTCAACCGGAAAACGAGCTGCAAAGATTAACATAGGTCCGCGGACCCACTCCTTATTACTGAGTACTGAAGGCTATATAATCACTTATTGATTTCCTAGTTCGAGGCTTATTAGGAGACTAAAACAAATGTTTATTATTCGCTGGTTTTCAGTCGTATTCTAAGTGTTCATTATTTGATAAAAAATATCTACAAGTTGTATGTGAGCTGACCATCGTACGCAGTAACGAATTATACCTGTATATGCTTGCTACATTATTAAAACCCATTCATTCTCCAGTTAGCATTGGTGGTCACTATTTTATTTAACTCATAAAGAGACGTCCGTACATTCTTGTCCCCACATAGTGATTATGCATTTATATTTAATGGTTTAATATAATGGTCAGTTTTCGGATTATTATGCGTGTGTCTGCGTGTAATAATGTAAATTCTTAAACAGGCTAGCAGTCTAAGGAAAATAAGCTTCTTGTATAATCATACTGCGATTTTCTATAAAACTAAAACAGTCATTATTGTGTTTTATTTGCTGTTTAAATATATTTCTAACCCACTGTTACATAGACCTATTGGATTGTTATAACTTAAGTCTTATTAATATATAACGTAATGATACCGCCAGTTAAAGAACAGTGATTTATCGACCGGACCAATGACGCATAAACGCGTACGAGCAGTCTACAGTCCTTATCAGTCCTTCTCCCTGTCTTTTGAGTCCAGAACACTAATCTCAGCCTCTATGATATGATCATGCATTTCAAACAGACCACTTCGTACCATAAAATAGAAAATAACATTTATGCATGACCTAGCCAAAAATGGCTGTGAACGTGGGAAACCGTAATTAATAGACTGGGCACAACTCAAGAACGGTAAATCGTATAATAATAGTCTATAGGTCAAAACAAAGCTTTTAATAAAAGGAACACGAATATGCATAGTTTAGCTACTTACCAATCATACAATAATAATATATGTAACGTATTGGTCCATAAACAGTTTTAAAAGGTTACCATTCATAATTCTCGTTGGAATAAGTTGAATTCCTTGGGTCAAGCTGCTTACTTACTGTGTCATCAATTTCACTTTCTTTGTGACTCATTTACTAGATATTAGCCTTGTAGGTTACTCGATCTTTAATAAATTAGGATCTAATTATTAGGCTTAATTCTTCTTCATCACATCGGTGCTAGAAATTCAAATCTGTTAGTTGAAAACTGTGTTCACTCATCGCTAAACCTCCGTTTTACTAAAGAACCTAACCTGTAAAATTTTACATTCTATGATATTTAATCATAATATTATTCATTTCTCATTATTAACTCATTTCCACTATTGTCATTAATTTAGTATAATAATAGCTGAGGATATTAATTACACAACTATGGAGCAATGACTTGGTGGGTAAAACGTTCGACTTTTAATTCATGTTCTAATCCCGCCCTAATTGCTTCGGTTTAGGTAACCGGGTAATATCATTAACCCTTACACTTAGATTGTTGTTTATATCTAAGTACCTAGAGAGTTACTTAATTTAAATTAAAAAGTTCATTGTATTAATGAGATTGTTTGTTTGTTTGTTTTTAAGCCAGTATACCATTTACCTTCTATTAAACTATTTATTTTATTATTATTATTATTGTTACAGAATTTAACTGATGTATTCAGACCTTATGATTATCAACGAAATGGAATGGCACAACTTAGTTATGAACAATTTTTAACTGCTGCATTCAGTGTAGTTAGTTAATGAATTCAACATTATTATTATTAATGGTCAAATATTATCAATATCCTCTTCTTTTTTTTTTAAAGATTGTAAAGATAATCATGCTTACTTATTGATATCGATTAAGTTATTATTCTTGTCTAGAAACAAACAAACATAAGTATGAAATATTATGTAATTATCTAAATCACTTATATAATTGGAGATTATATCTGTCTGTCTCATATAATTGTCTACACTAAGGTTACTACTATAACCAATATACTCACTCTTTTTTTTCATAAATAGAAAAAAACAACAACAACTAAAATTGCAATTAATTTGTTCTATTCTATGAATGTTAATGTTAATTAATTTATATTCTGAAAAATAATAATTACAGAATTCAAGCCAGTTTACAGGCATGATCAATTTGAAATAAGTAAAAACGTTAGACATGCAGAACAAACATGTAATAAAAGAAAATTTTAAGTATATTAGTTCAGTAGTTGTTTAAGTAGTACAGCGATCCAATGCATCAGCCGGGAATTTTTCATATTTCTTAAATGGACAGACCGTTGATTTTTGTGAACGGTGTAATTAAGGTCAATTCGTGTGCCAAATCGAAATAATGATAATTATCTACAACTCGAGAAATTAAAACGAAAACATATAATAATAATGAATTTATTGAACATATTAAATAGAGGTCAGTGTTAGTGGTATACAACTCCATTGTGTTTAAAATCAAATTAACTGCATAAAAGTTCAAATCTATCATTTGTTATTAATAGTTGAATAGTAGTAGAAAGATTTAATAAATGAAATCAAGTAAAAATAAATCAAACATACAGTTTTTTTGCTGCAAGTACAAAAAGAACAAGTCAACATGTTAAAACAGCAATTAGTCAATAGGAATGAAAATTTAACAAAGGAGTTTCAGGACGAATAAAACAGAAATTGAGAATTCTTAAATAGCATATTATGATGGATAGTGTATAGGATCTAATACTGATACACAGTGTGCTACGTGCTAACCCCTCAACTGAATACTTGGGTGAATAAAATACACACCGGGCTTACCTATCGTGATGAAGCAACCGAGCTATACTGGCTAGAACAACCGTTCCTCAAGGTCCTACCATGTCAGACAGGTCGGCTGAAGAGCGGTAAGATTAAAAGCAAGCAAGGCGAAGTCGTACTACTGACTGTACAGAGGTGTGACAGCAGTAAGGTGTTCCCTTCAGACAACCAGCATGACAGCGATGCTGCCTTCCCACAAGGAGGGGTGGGGTTAGAAAAGGTCGACCCTAAAAATGCACACCCCACCTTATCCCACGGATATCCGTCTCCGGCGGTAAGGTCTCAACAAGTACGGAGGTAACACAAAAATTATTCATAAAAAGGTCGTGTGTGACCGACCTAAAGCAGTTGTCCCTTGGGCACTGCGATCACGCTCTCAGGTCACTAAGACCACCTCTAATCCACTTTCCTTTTCAGGTACCTCCAGAAGAACCCTTCCACGGTGTGGGCAATCGGGAAGTGATAACCGCCCTTATACCTCTAACAGCACTCAAGACCACTGTTTTCATATATATATCACTCTAACCCTTAGGAAATTCGCCCATTTCTTAGCCAGTGAAATGCCATTAACCTTTACTTCACTCCTGATTGCCACCGATGATTTCCCGACAGGTCATTTCTGATTGGCTTAACAATAGAATGTTAGTAAGTAATTTTTAGGGATTTATTTGTAAATATTTTTAACTTACAAGCTGATAGTCGTGATTGGTGTCAGAGAGAAGAAGAGCGAGAACTTCTCAAATTAAAGCAACATATCAAGATTATATTGTTAGTCAAGTGTTGGGACGTGGACTCAAGTGTCATTTTAAGAAATCAGTTATTCGCTAACTATTACATACACGTTCACACACTAGTACTTAATTCAATTAGTATTATCATTCGATAATAAAAAAATTCCCACATAGTTTATTTACGAACCTCATTCAATTCAATTGTTCAAGGGTTAGGGAATACTCTTTATTAAATAAGTAGGAAATTGAAAAATTTATTTAGATTGGGTGTAAATGACAAACTCCGCCTGGAGTCCCTCCGGGGGCTACTGCCGGTCCCAAGCCAGGATAAAGGAGGAGGGTTGGGCATGGGGTTAGCGTCCCCATCCTGTAGAAAACTAACTCGCTAAAAAAATGCTAACTAGAAAAATTATTCAAACTCTGTCTCGGGAGTCAGAAGGTCTTCATTTAAAAGAACTATGACGCCTCATGATGAAAGCCTAATTCCTTCGGAAGGTATGAGGCCGATGCCCCTTTTGACAACCAGAGCAACCATTTATTTAGGTACATGGAATGTTCGTACAGTGTGGAACATCGGAAGAGCTATCCAAATTGCCGTAAATGACAACTAACCAGTTAGTTATAATGAGCTTGTTAGTAGCTCAGTGCTTTATGATATGATAGAAAGAAAAATCTATTCCTCGATTGATTTACTTATTATGAGTTTTGTTCAACATTACTTCCATTCTAATTCAATGTAATGATCATACACTGTAGTATTTGTTTTCTTTTGTTGCATGATATTTTATTCTTTATAATATACGATATTCTTGTATTCTATTGACATGAACTATAACTCAATCTGTGATTTGCTTAATAACTCGAAGTATTTTTCATATATGTGATTTCATCCTAATTATTAATCAAAAATGGGTGTAAAATCAATATATAAATGAGTGTATATGAGACTATTTTGTTCATCGTCTTCGTTGTGTGTTTTTTTGGGGGGGGGTAATAAATCATCACTTATACCAGTCCCTCGTTCCGAGTATAAGTGATCAGCGGCTTTTTCCGACACAATAATTGCGACGACCGAACACAACAGTTCCTCTTTATTAGTGTCCAGTGTTAGGTAAAACCTGTTATAACTTGTGGCCTGACCGCCCTGCTAAAGTATAACGTAATGATACCGCCAATTAGAGAGCAGTGAATTATCGATCGGATTAATGACGCATAAAACACGTACGAGCAGTCTGGAGTACTTATCGGTCCTGCTTTCTGTTTAGCCTAGACCACCCACTTAAGTCCACAACACCAATCTCAACCTCTGCAATATGAATCATTTATTTAAAACATACTGGGTTTAAGTACCAACCAGACATCATATCGTACAAGATTTAGTCAAAAGTGGCTGTGAATGTGGGAGGTAGTAGTTAATAGACAGGGCATAACTGAAGAGTGATAAATCGTATAATAATAGTTCATAAGTCAAAATAAAGCTCATGATAAGAGGGACACGAATATGTATAGTTTAGTTATTTAGCAAAAATACGATAAGAATTTACGTATAGTATTGGTCGATAAATGGATGCCAAAAGTTACCGTTCATTATGCTTATCGTGGCATGACAATAAAAAAATACAACTCAGTGATTAGTTAGAGGTAATTGATATATTGATTTTGTACATTGTATACTTACACCAAATTATTGATTAAATAGTACTCTGTCAACATTCAAATTTATTTCTTGATGTGGTGTAGTTTTAATTGATATACAACTTTGTTCTTATTGATTAGTTGTGCATAAATAAATAATTATCTAATAACAACAACCTTGGTTATTGTTATACTGAACACGTAACCATATCAACGATCAAATACGCTTTATTTTCAAGCTAGTACATTGAGAATTCATTTAAATTAACAATTTCATTAATATATGTTGACATTGATATAACTGGTGGTTTACACATATATTACTTACTTACGCATGTTACTCCCAATGGGACATGGGCTGCCGACCAGCATTCTCCATTCAACCCTGTCCTGGGCAATCCTTTCCAGTTGTTATTCATTCTTTTCATATCTGGTCCAATTTCGCGGTATAATGTGTTCTTCGGCCTTCACCTTTTCCGATTCCCTTCACAATTCCAAGTTGGGGTTTGCCTCGTGAAGCAGTTTGATGATTTCCGTAATGCATTTCCTATCCAATTCCATCGTCTTTTCCTAATTTCCTTTTCAACTGGAAGCTGGTTGCTGATGGTATCTGGCCAATGGATGTTGCGTATCTTACATAGAGAACTATTTATAAATACTTGTACCTTCTTGATGATGGTTCTAGTAATTCTCCAAGTTTCAGCTCCGTACAGTAGAACTGTCTTGACGTTCGTTTTGAAGATTGAGAATTTGATATTGTTTGGCAGTTGTTTTGAGTTCCATATGTTCTTCAATTGTAGGAATGCGGCCCTTTCTTTGCGAACCCTCTTTTTTAAGTTAATACGTCAATAAGTCTAATCATGTTATATCAAAACCAGGATTCACAACCCAGAATAGAGAACCAGGTTAACACTAGTGTATATTTTATTCGATATAATTACGAGCAGTCACACACAAAGATTCCAGAGTAGAAATCACTAATAAGAAGTTAAACCAAATATTTAATACTCCGTAGGCTGGGACAGTGAGACTACAATTTATGGACGACTTTTGAGCAACGCCAAAGTGACCTTCAGGGTGTCCACCTAATAATTAGGACCAAATAAGGGTTATAAACCTGTGTGAGGAATTCGGATTATGATTTACAGTCAATGGTTAATGTTAGAAATTAGATTTAATGTTTTCATCACGTACTGACATAATCTATAATGAAAAAACTCGATTTAGCCAAATGGATGAGTGAATTTCGTGGCAAAACCCGAAACCTGTTATCTTATACGTGATTGGTTCGTCCATAGATTATTGTCTCACCGCTGTGACTGTTTGGCCGAGGCTCAATGACCAATCATACTTTAATTTCATTACCATACATCAGACGTTTAGTTGGATGAGGTGTTCGGTGAATGTAATACTTCACTTAATTACGTCACAAATGGATATCAATTGAAGGTTACTATCAGAAGGGGTTTTGTGAAGATTGTAGTAATTTCAGTAGTTGAGTTCATGAGCCAATTGAAGCTAGCCCGCCATGGGAAACCTGAAAGTAATGGACGGCCGCTTCCTTCTATTTTGGCACTCCTCATTGGCAGTGCG